TGGAAAGGGAAGATGGTTAGAGATATGATAGTTATTCTGCCCTGAGACTCTGAATAGTTCTTCTGCAGAGTTGTTTGGAGGGTTTGATTTGGTTAATTGCAACATCCTGTCTCCTTCTGAACCATCCCTTAGGAATCCTGCTGTTCAGAAAGCTGATGAGAATGGGAAGGAAGAATACAGATTAATATTGCAGAGTACCTGGAACAAGTGAGGGAAAGGAAGTTGAGACAGTGGAATTCAGTAGCTTTTCCAAACAACTTCTCTACCTCTTTGTTCTAAATGAATATTTTACAATGGTTATTTCCCTGATGGTGGACAGAAAGCTGATTAAATTTTAGGATGGTACTCATTACCCAGTAGAATCTATTTTCCAGCAAATTACAAGCAATATAACATCTGATAGATCATATTAAGTAATTTGTTGTAGTCTGAAGTAGAACAAAACAGCTCTTTCAGTCCAGTAAAGACATTAACACAAAGCAGTACTGATTCATTTGGGGAGCTCTGTCAGATTTTCTGCAGTGACTTTGCCTCAGCTTTTCAAGTCACCTGTCAGGTGTGTGATAGGATGTGCAGTGCAGACTGCTGTGCTGTGCAGGCACTGAAGGGAACTGAGAAGTTTGGAGATGGTAGAGTCTCTTGCTGGCCCCGTTTATTTTTATATGTGTTGTCACGTACATCAGTATTGTTTGTGATTGCCCAGAGCAGCTTGGTGAAGGAAGGAAACATTAGCATGCAAATAATCCTATATAATTTCATCTGCTCGTTCAGTCTCTAGGATCCTACATCCTCCTTGGAGCTGAACAACGAGCTGAAGTTGGCAGGTTGTATTTCTGGGTACTCCAGTACTGAATATAGATGCTGTTCATTATTCAAAACTGACCTGCTGTGTAGGCCCTTATTGTTCTTACCCAGGGAAACTTCAGGTAGTGCTGAAAGAGTACTGTAATTTCAATCATAATAGAGTACTATTTTCAAAAAGAGCATCACTCTGTGTAACCAACAGGTGATTTTTGTCTTGCACTCAACAGTTAATGCAGGATTTCAGAGTAGAATATTAATACAAATGGTTGTGGCCTGCAAAATGTCTTTCAGCTAAACTACTGCTGTTTTTATTAGTGAGGGACATACAATTCCAAGTGAGGTCAGATACTGTATTAATGAGGTGGATCAGTTGAAAGGGGAGGATAGCAGTATAGAGTGTATAATAAAAAGGGTATTGCTGTAGAGAACCTCATCCATGGTGAAAACACCCTTACAAAAGCTTAATGTTAGGTCTCTTTATCTGTGAGTAGCAGCTCTGTAATTCTTCACATGCCACAGCATTTCTTGAGAGCTCTTCAGATTTATTATCATTTAAATTCAGAACTTCAGCCTTTCCTCTGTTGCAGGAGATTATAATCTTTTGCTGGAAATAGCTGCTCAGAGTACAAAATTTTGACATGCCTTTTATATAGAGGGATTAGAAATGTTTAAAGTTGAAATGGCAGCTTGTGTTTTGTTTTGGTGCTCAGGTGCACATGAACTTGAACAGATGCAGTTAATTCTAGAATCAATTCCTGTCGTACATGAGGAGGATCGTCAGGAGCTTCTCAATGTAATTCCAGTTTACATTAGAAATGATATGACTGAGCCACACAAACCTTTAACTCAGTTGCTTCCAGGCATCAGTCCTGAAGGTAAGTAATGAAAAACTCCTTGATTCAATATTTTGATGTTTCAAAATAATCAAAAAGCATGCAGCTTTGAGGTGCAGCCATGTGATTGTTAAAGGCAATTTTCAGTTAGAAGAATCTGTGTTCTCTGAAGAAGGATTGTCTTCTGCCATAATAAAAGAAATTTGCTTCCATGATGGCTGCTTGGTTATCTTTAGAGTAGAATTGTGAATTTCTGCTGGACCTATTTGCACTGGAATTGCTGTTTTGAGACTTTTAAATACAAGGGAACATTGGAATGGAGTCAGTATAGGAGGACTGTCTTTCAGATGTTTTTAGAAGAGAGTCTCCCAGCCAAAGTAGCAGCAGTGTTTCCTGGTAGCCATTGGTGGATACTGATTCAGCTTGAAGCCTTCTGTCTCTTGCTGGTTTTTTATGCATTAAATTAAATTATGGCTGATCTTAGATTTGACTTCTCTCTCTTTCTGATGGCTGCAGGATGCATATTTGGCACTGTACTGTCAGTAGCTGATACTTCACAGGCAGCTACTTTGAAACAACTGGAGGGCTCTAGAGCAAAGCACTACACCTTAATGTTAGGTTCTAAGTGTCAGAAATTTCCCATTTAATGGTAGCTTATATTCTACAGCACTGGACTTTCTGGAGCAAATTTTGACATTTAGTCCCATGGATCGATTGACAGCAGAAGAAGCTTTGTCCCATCCTTATATGAGCATTTATTCCTTTCCAACGGATGAGCCTATTTCAAGTCATCCTTTTCACATTGAAGATGAGGTTGATGATATTCTGCTAATGGATGAAAGTCACAGCCATATTTATAATTGGGAAAGGTAAATTTATCACTTACTGTGGTAATGTAACTGGATGGGTTTGTGCTTGAAGTGACATTGCTTCATGGGCATTATTTCTTTTTCTGTTTCTTCCTCTTGAGTTGACCTGAGAATAAAATTTTCTTATTTTCTTATAGCAATATCATTGGATTTATAATCCATTAGATGCGACTTGGATATGCTGATGGATTCCTAAGTTGCACTCAGGAGTCTAGAATCTAAACTTAATATTTCCATTATTTTTTTCTTCCTCAAAATACTTCTCTAAAACTAAATTTTGTTTAAGGAGAGTTTTAATTATGATTGTTTTGTCTAATGCTTAATGCACATTGTAGTAAAGAGATTTCACAGTAGTCATCTTAAGTCAATTAAACACACTTTAGAAAAAGTTCTGTACATGGAGTGAGCTGTTGTACATAATTCTGTTTCTTTTTGCTAGATTAAATTAAAAACTTGGAAGAGGTACCCAGTTGGATTAAGGAAGAGCTTTGTGTTGAATTGTCATTATTTTGTAAGGGCATTTCTAAACTTGACTGTCTCTGTTTGGGAGCCAGAGGACTGCTTTTAGCTGCTAACACTTAGGAAATTGTTTTACAGATACCATGACAGTCAGTTTTCAGACCATGACTGGCCTATTCATAATAACTATGAAGCTGATGAAGTTCAGCGTGATCCAAGGGCTCTTTCTGACGTTACTGATGAAGAAGAAGTGCAAGTGGATCCTCGCAAATATTTGGACGGAGATCGTGAAAAGTACCTGGAGGATCCTGCCTTTGACACCCACTTCTCTACTGAGCCTTGCTGGCAGTACTCAGATCACCACGAAAACAAGTATTGTGATCTGGAATGTAGTCACACTTGTAATTACAAAATGAGGTCCTCTTCATACCTAGATAATTTAGTTTGGCGAGACAGTGAAGTTAACCATTACTATGAGCCCAAGCTTATTATAGATCTTTCAAACTGGAAGGAACAAAGCAAAGATAAGTCTGACAAGAAAGGCAAGTCTAAATGTGAAAAGAATGGGTTGGTGAAAGCTCAGATAGCACTTGAGGAAGCATCACAGCAACTTGTTGAAAAAGAAAGGGAGAAGAATCAGGGGTTTGACTTTGATTCTTTTATAGCAGAAACCATCCAGCTTAGTTTACAACATGAGTCTACTGATGTTGATAAATTAAATGACTTGAATAGTTCAGTGTCTCAGATAGAGTTGAAAGGAATAATATCGAAGTCGGTGAGCAGAGAGAAGCAGGAGAAAGGAATGGCCAATTTGGCCCAGTTAGAAGCTCTGTACCAAACTTCTTGGGACAGTCAGTTTGTCAGTGGTGGGGAGGGGTGCTTCCTCATAGACCAGTTCTGTTGCGAGGTAAGGAAAGATGAACAAGTTGAAAAAGAAAATACTTACACCAGTTATTTGGACAAATTTTTTAGTAAGAAAGAAGATGCTGAAATGCTAGAACCTGAGCCAGTAGAAGAGGGGAAGCTTGGGGAGAAGGAGAGAGAAGAGAGCTTTCTCAGTAACAGTGGGGAACTCCTCTTCAACAAGCAGCTTGAGGCTATAGGTATTCCTCAGTTTCACAGCCCTGTTGGCTCGCCTCTCAAGTCCATCCAGGCCACGCTAACGCCTTCTGCTATGAAATCATCTCCCCAGATTCCCCACAAAACCTACAGCAGCATTCTGAAACATCTAAACTAAAACACTCAGCAGACATTTCTTTTATATTCATGAGATGTGTTTGTCTTTTTTTATTACTAGTGTAAGTAATTTTTTTACTTGAATCAGATGGTGTAATTTTGGTATGGATTTCGTTAGTTTTCTGTTTACCATTGTTTTTACAATCCAGAATTACTTTCTATACATGAGTTAGTTTTGTTTTTAAACTGGCATGTCGTTTGCACACAAAATTAAAGAATAGAGCAAAATAATGCAAAATGCAGGAGGTAACAAAAAAATGCACTAAACCAAGTTAAAAAAAAACATTCTCTCAGTAAAACAGTGTCCATGTTTTGCAGAAAAAGAACCTTGCCTTGAAATTTACACAGTGAGACTGTACATAATTGCATGAGAATATCTATTTTTCCCGAAACATTTTTTTCATTCATGCGTATTTTAGAGTTTTTTCATACTCTACACATTTCTTAGACACATGATACCAGCAGCAACTGAAATGAATGCAGAATTTGGTACGCATGTGTTATCTACCTCAAGGTAACAGCAGTATGTGGCAAAACATTAACCACCCATAGTGCTTCTCATTATGCACTTCTATTTAGCCAGCATTATTGTAGTAGCTATTCCTATTGAAAATCATTCAATATTTATAAATGTTCTGGTATGCATTCTTTATAGTGAAGTGTTAATATGCAGCACTTTTATTTATTTTAGCAAATAAGTATATTTCTGTAATTATAGAAAGTCAATTTTTGAGTTACTTTTCAGATAAAAGTTTTTGTTTAGCACTATGGTTTTATTGCCTACATAGCTGGATATATATTAACATCGGCTTATTCTGAGGCTATCCAATACATTTTTATTTTTTAGTTTTCATTTCAAGTAAAGCACTCACTGTGTATAGGAATTTGTAATTGGAGGTGCTTGATCTCTACAAAAGAAATTAGGAATTGCTTTATTATCAAATGCTCCTAGAAGTCTTAATTGTGTTCATTTTTTAAAAATTTTGTAATGTTAGTTGTGTGCATGGAAATAATTAAGGTACAACATTACTGTAGGTTAAAGTTCTATATGGTGAGACATTTTGTTTTTACTGTATGTTTTTACGAATGATTCCTGTCCCACTCCCAGCCCCCCTCCAAAGCAAGCATGAATAAAATTAGGTTAAATATAGCATGTAGCATCTCGGTCTTTTAAAAATTTGTTTTACCTTCTGATTTTTTGAAATACTGGATGTATCATTGGCTCCCCTGTTTAAAACTAAAAACAAATAAAAACATGGCCAGCAAAAATGGCTGTTTGTGATGCTTTGTACACACCCTGCCCGATGAGGAGCAGCTGCTGTGCTGCAGCTGGGGCACTTGTGAGGGTCACTGCCTAACACAGGGTGCTCACGGAAGCATGAGAAGCTCTCCTGGAAGGGATGCAGCATCCTGCAAGGAGACTCCCAAGAGTTCCCTTCTGTCCTGCAGCCAGCACCCAGCAAAATCACACGTGGGGGTTGGCTATGAAAGCACAAATATACAGCGGTGTCCATAACCATTTCTGTTCAAAAGAACAATTGACTGGGAGTATACGTGACCCAAGTTAGTGTTTTATCAAAGTTTTGGCCAGGAAAAGCTGCAGTGTGTGTGTGAGCCCCTTTACACTGCCAGCAGCGTGGAGTGAAGGTGAGCCTGCAGCTTCCTCAGCCAAGAGCCTGGCTGGAGCACTTCCACGAGCAGATTTTGGGAGCATGACCAGGTAGCTCCTGAGGGATGTTACAAAATGTGCAGGTCAGGTCTCTGTTGCAGCAAGCCCTAGAACAGAATGTATTTCTCTTCCTGCCATCAGAGCTGTTCCAGAGGGAGCTAATTAACTGTACAATAAAGCTACTGGCAAACTCCTACAGCTTTTCCTATCACAGTGCTTTAGTTCCTCCAGATTCTTCCATCCCTGCTCCTCTGGCAGGTAGCATGTTTGCAACCGGCCTAAAACAAGGATCTCTGGCCCTCCAGTGTGGCACAGGGTGGGCACCTGGGCAGGGGACAGGGACTGTGTCCTTGGGCAGGGTTCCTGGGTGTTCCTGCAGCCTCAGCAGTGGGCTGTGGGCTGGAGGCAGGGGGTGACCAGCTGCCCTCTCAAGGGCTGTGCAGCTTTTGTTGAGATTGGAGGAGAGCAGTGGGTGGAGAGTGTGATAGAAACACATCTTGTACAAATGAAGAATCTTTTTTGCCTTTTTTTTTTTTTAAACACATGTGAAACTTAACAGTACTTAAGAAGCCTGTAAGGGTACAAAGGGAGTGTTCTACACTAAAAAGAAAGGAGGAGTTGAGTGTTGAGCCTAAACCCAGCACGGTGCTTTATTACCTTTGTCTTCTGCCCGTGCTGAGGAGGCAGCACTGTGCAGGCTGTGCTGCCTGCTTTGGTGCAAACCCTGCTCTCACAACAGGCTGTCCATGGGCCACTGCAGGGTGCAGCTGGGCACTGGGGTTCATTAAGCAGAAGGAATTCCCTGTGTGGAGACAAAACTGTTTTGTAAGGACACTGCAAAGTGAAATCGCTGCTAGAAATGAAGGTGCTGTGGGTGTGGGTTCTCCCGTGGCAAGCTGCAGGAGTGTGGGCAGAGCAGCCTGCAGGAAGTGCAGGGTGTCACAGGTTGTTCCCATTGGATGGAGGACGGTTCCTGCCCTGTGCTCATCAGCTGTGCCCATCCCTGCAGGATAAAATAGGTCAGCTACACGTGTAGCCCTTTGGCTGTGACCTAGCAACAGCATTGTCTTTAAAAACAAAATTTGGAAGAAGCTTCAATTATGAACCAGATAAAGGGACCACTGTTTCAGGCCAAGGTGCTTGCCAAGTACAATGGAACACCCTTATTTAACAAAAAAGCAAATAAGGGATGAGAAAATTAACCAGCTTTTAAAAGTGCTCTTTCTTCTCCAAGTGGCCTTTTGTTAAAAGGCAGCATTTTAAAGTATGTTTAACAAGAGCTTCAGCTAGAAGAGGTGATGTGTACAACAGACCAGGACAGAGCCTTTTGCACATCCTGTCATCACATGAGGTCTAATAATTGCTGAACAGTTTGTTCTGATCAAGAGTTCTCAGCCATGGTCAGTTAGCTTTCTCAAATTGTATTCAATTTTAATTAAATCAGAGTTGCTATATATAATCTTAGCTATTTTTATAAGCCTTTGCCCGTGCTGCTGGTAGTGTTGTGATGGCAATGTGAGTCTAGCACAGCTTGGCTGGTCCCTGCTGTGGGCAGAGCTGTCTGCTGGGGCTCTAGGCTGGGGTTCTGTGAACCAGCTGGGCTCTGGGGCAGGCCCTGCTGTGCTCACAGGGCACCTGTGGCTGCAGCAAAGGGCTCGCTGCCTACAGCAAAATCTGTGCCTTGATGTGCTTTGTTTTCCTGTCACCTTGCTGTTACTTTTCTGTGCTGCAGAAGCTCTTGGAGCAGTGCTGCTGCATCCTTTTAAAGCCAAAGTTCACACTTTGGTCCAGCTGATTGCCTGGAGGCACTGGTTTATGAACAGGTTTTTAATGCCTTTTTTACACGAGTCCACTAGTGAGTACTTTTTCCATATGGAACTAATGTCGCTGGTTTTTTATGTCCCCTTCTAACCTCTGTTGGTCAGGGATGTAGGAGTTTTTCCACACGTGGACTTTCATCCCCAAGTCTACACATGCGTCCTGCAAACCCCAGAGAAGTGTAGGCAGGGCCCCAAGGAATTCAGTGGCACATTGTGGTGCAATTATTGCTGAATATCAAGAGGAAAACCACCCTTGAGCTAAATCTGCTCCCACAAGTCTTCTTTTCTTTATTATACTCATGTTGCTTTCCTGCTGCTGAGATCTGGAAGTGCTTATCAAGCCTTCAGCTGAGTCTTACAGGTAATTAAACAGTAACCTGTCTTTGTTCTTCCACAGACACAGCCCTGAGCAACAGCAGCCCTGAACTGATCTGTTCCTTACTCCTTGAATTATTTCAGTTCTTACAAAACCCTGTAAATTCTTGTTTGCTGTTCTGCCACTGTTTGCGTCAGACCCGAGCTGCAGGGCCTGGGCAGCCCTGCCAGGGGTATTTAGTAACAAGCAAATAATCCAGATCACCGCTGGCACCCAGCACTCGGGCTGCCATTCCTCTGTCTATATTTAAAATGGTTATCTGCTTACTCTGAGTGCTATTGGAGAGCTCCTTAAAATACTGACTGCTGAAAAGTTCAGTGGCTGCTTTTGGCCGGGGAGCAGCGTGGCTGGAATGGTGATTTGTGTGCAGCAGTCCATGTGCAGGGGGAGCTGTGCCCAGCAGCCCCTGGGGACATGGGCATGGCCAGGTATGGCCACGCTCTGCAAATAGCTGGCAGCAGCCACACGTGTCATCTGCCTTCCTCAGGAATCTGTCTGCTGCACCCTGACTGCTGAGCAGCCCTTCTATAGAGAGCTCTGAGAGTAAAATACCTTTTGTAATCTCTGCACTGGGCTACTGCTGCCAAAATTACTTTTAACCTGAATGTCACCCAGCCTGGGTAGCTGTGCATGGTACGAAATACCAAAGTGTGAGTTTGGCAGCTGGGCTGGGACAGCGAGCTTGTGACTCGTCAGCGTCAGAGCCAGCAGCTCCATTGCCCTTCATGTCCCAGCTTTGGCTCCCCTGTTCCCAGCACAAAGGTGCTGGGGGGTGATTCCTGCAGCTCACACACTGAGAAAAGAGCATGGCTGTAGGGGGAGTAGGGAAAGGGCTTTTCCATCTGTCTCTGGGGACTTGGGTTAATCTATGCTTACATCCAATCTGTGTTTCTGGAGCACACAGTCATTACTGAATTGCTGCCTGATGGTTTGATGGGTTTTCTTCAGTTTTAACGTTGGTAGAAGGCTGATTTATTTTGTCCTAATTTGGTAATGTTCTGCATTACTTGTGTCTTAGCTTACACTTTTCATTTCTCCAGATTTCTTGTAACTTTTGGGTTAGGCTTATTATATTCTTCTAGTAATCATTCATGGTTGAATACAGTCCAAGGCAAGTGGTGATCCCCTGCCTGCTTGGTTAAAGATCACTGGCCACTCTCAGAATAGATGGGAGGCCTAATAAAATACAGGCTTTTCTTTATATCTGAATTTTGCCATGGTCCTCAAGCCATATCCCAGGGCTCTGGGGCTGTGTAGAGTGGAAGCTTCACTGCCACACTAATCCCACTGTGGCTGGTGCAAGGTAAGTATAAACCTCATCATTTTTCTGTGTCATCATCTCCACAGCATCTTCCCAAAAAGCAAGTGTACCCAGGGTAGAATTTCTGCTTTACAAGATTGTTGATCTTTTAGTTTGCAGCTCGGGCTTCAGCAACGGATGCTCCAAAGCCCGGCTCAGGCAGTGAAAGGACATTTTCTAGTTCTCGTTCTTGGTGCTGCCATTCAGACCGGATTAGAGTTTAAATCTTCAGTGCTGGAGGCTGTAGAGAAACAATGTTTCCTTTTGATGCCTGTCTTGAATTTTATCATTTAGAAGGATTTAAAGGATAGACCTCAATAAGTGAATGACAGATTTACTGTGACTTCTGTGTTTGTTTGGATATAGATTCAGACAGTACAGCTCTTGAAATAGCTGGGTAACTAGCAGAAACATTCTTAAAGCCTGTGATTAATAAAGCAGATGGGTTTGAGTTTTGTTTTGTGCCATATTTGTCTCAGATATTTTCTGCTATTGTTAGAGTCTTAGCAGATTTGATGTTGACACATATTGAAAGATTAAATTAATTCTAGATACTAAATTATCTTTTCGACCCTTACACATTATATTTCACTGGTTTTCCATGATTCTTTATTCTCTTTTTACTTGCTTTTATACTGAGAGACCCTCAGGTGTTTGAGCCTCTCAGTTTTGCACCATGCCCAGCCCTATGAAGCAGCAAGGTGCCAGCCTGTTGGAGTGCAGAGAGGACAGGAATGTCCTTTGGGATTGCTGGCACTTGGATCTGTATTTCTATTGGCCTTGGAAGTGCATCACCCAGGGTACAGTATCCACTTCTAGCAGGGCTAGGTGAAAAACCTGGGACTGGCTTAGGGACCTGCACAGGGCAAGGAGATGATGAATCCAGGAGAAAAGCAAACGCTGGAAGCTGAGTGGAGCTCTGGCTCACGGTGTGCAGCTGGAACTTGGCTGCCCACACCTGTGGCTCAGTTAATCAGCACCTTGCAGCATTGCTGCTGCCCCGATAAAACCACAGTGATGTCAGCAGTGGAGCAGAGGGTTTGGTTCTTCAGCCAACACAGAGCAAAATACGACAGCACAGAGCAAAATAGGAGAGCACAGAGCTGCTTGAGCAGTTCCCTGTGCCAGTGGGCCCTAAAGGACGTGCTGTGAGCAGCTGGGTGCCCTGGTGGGTCACAGTGGTGCCAGCACCAGCAGTGGAGAGGAGCCAGGCGTGACCAGGGCAGAGCCATCCTCCAAAAGGCTGGTGGAGGGAGGAGGTTTCCACCCTGCCTGCCAGGAATTGCAGTCTTTGTTGGCATGGGCAGGAGGAAAAATATGATGGGAAACAGGAAGATTAAAATAATCCCAGTGAAAACAGGATGTTGGGAAGCTGGTGACAGAGTGGGGCTGCAGAGGGCTGCTGGGAGCAGGGAGGCTCTCACACAGGCTGTTTGGGGCAAAATACCCACTTCTCACAGGTGTGGGCCCACACCAAATCCTTGAGACAGAGGCAGCAGACTGGTATCTTGTGTGTCCCCAAAACATGACTGATTATGGCCATTTACACCAATTCTTCACCTTCTATCCACACCTGCCTGAATTCTTTTTTGTTGGATGAAGGTCGTAAGCCATTCCCTGCACCACCTCAGCCTGGCAACACATTTATTTAACAGCTAGGACCTGCCAGGCAGGGGGATGGAGCTGTTCCAGGGCCTGGCTGCCAGCAGGGAGCTGGAGATGTCCCAGCTGAGCACAGCCTGCTCCCCGAGCTGCTATCCGTGGCGTCCTTCCAGCCACGACAAAATCAAACCCCAGCAGTGTTTGTCTCTCACTAAAGTGCCTCTTCCTCCCAGGGGCTGACAGCAGCACTCAGAGCTGTGGATTTATGGCAGGGGTGCCTGAGGGAGCTGCTGCCACCCCCACAGCCAGTGTGTGACCTGTCAGAGGCTGGGCAGGGGCTGTGGCCCAGGCAGCCTCTCCAGTGCCTTGCACACCCAGCACTGAGGTGTTGCTGCTCCTCAGAAAGATTTAGGGAGCAGGGCAGCTGCAGGGCCAGGCACTGCTGTCAGCCTGGAGAGCGTGGTGGGCTCATGAGAGGGCTCTGCACTGCAGCTCCAGCCTCCATGGGGTGTGGACCATGCTCAGAAGCAAGCATGAACTCAGTGCCCCAGAATTTATGAGGTCACGGAGCCATTAGCAAATGCATACTAAAATCTCTGACTGGGTTGTTCTTCAGGTGAAATGAAAATTGCTATTGTCCGTGAGTCCATGCTCTCCACTTATTTACTTTCCCTGGCTAAATTGAATCTGCTGGGTACATTGCCATTGCCAGTGTTTGTCAATGCAGTGCAGATGGATGCAGAGCAGCCCTTGGGTGAGGACCTTGTCCCCAGTTTTAATGAGCCAGGTGACACAGAGCAGTTCTTCCCTGACATTCCCCAGTTAGGCATCTCAGCTGGCAAGAGTTTGGGAGTGAAGGGGTTTGGGTGCTGTGCCCAGCACACATAGCCCCTGCAGCAGGGGAATTGGGCTTTCCCTGGGCTATCTGCAACTTGCTTTTCTCATAGGTGCTCCAGAGAATTTGAGTCCTGAGGATCCCAATGTCTCCTATCACCTCAATTTCTCTTCTTCCATGCTCAAAAAAGGAGACAGGTTTGTTCTCCAGCCCATGAAACAGTCCCTACATCACTTGGCTTTTATGATAAGTGATAAAACCAGGAGGAGATGGAGTGCTCAGAGTGAATTGACAGGAGTCAGGGGCCCAGCTGCCCCTGGAGCTCAGGCCATATTCTGGAGTAGTGGGATGCCCAGCTCCTTTAACAATCAGCCCATGTACAATTCTTGTCCAAGACTAAATAAGGAGTTCATCATTTTCAAGGTGAACCTCTTCACTGTGGCAGGTTTTGACATCAGTTTTGGTTCCTGTGGGCAGTGCCACAGGAGAGCCAGCTCCAGACTCCCGGAGCTGGATCTGGGAGCTCCCTGCATACCAGGAGGGGAGTGTGGGGAGCAGCACCCCTGTGGCAAAGCAGAAACAGTTCAGATTCAGTTAGATTTACATATTTGACATGAGAAATCTCTCCAGGCATGACTTTAATCCAATTTACAGCGTCTGGCTGAAGTGAGGTATGAGAAGAATTTGCTGAAGTGATTTGAGTGGGGATGGGATGTGTGGGGAGCTGGGGGATCAGGGAGGGCAGTCTGCACCAGCCCTGGGGTGGTGGGGCTGAGCAAAGGGCTCAGCAAAGCTCCATGCCCAGCACAGACACCCGGCTCTCCACCAGGTCAGGAACCTGCCAGCCTGGTCCTTCACCCTTCTTAAAACACTCAGGAAGTGCTGCAGAAACCAAGGTGGAGATGGTCCTGCTCCTGTCCTGGGGTAATTCCCAGCAGGGATTGCTGCCTCTGGGCACCAGGGCACTCCATTTCCATCTCTCTGCCACACAGCACCCCAGCCCCATCACAGCTGAGCTCACAGAAATTCAGGAATGATGTGGCTTTCCAACAGTTTAAGGCACCTTCACTTCCTGCAGAGGGAAAGCAAATCTCAAGGGGCTTTGCAGCATGCACAGATGTTAATTGCCTTCCTCCCACAGCACTAAGAAATCTTGTGCTGTGTTGTCTTCTCCACTACACAGCAGGAAAATGAAAGATGGAGTGGTTAAAGCTCATCCTGCAAGAGCAGGTGCTGACTGGGGGGGACAAACCAGGTGACTCCCAGTGCTGGAGTCACATTAAGGGAGTTGGGAGATTAAGGTAAGGAGGAAAGTCATTTACAGCTTTAGCTCTTTGTCCCTGAAATCTCTGCAGTGTCCTGGGCATTTATAGAAACCAATGAACGGTGTCACCTGAATGTGGAGCACTCACAGGGAGAACTGGAGCAGTGATGGGGATTAAAGGAGTATCCAGATGGGAAAGCAATGGGAGAGCCCAGCCCAGTGTGTTTGCAGAGGGAGCACATCCCACCTGGACAGGGCACATCCAGCCTGGGGACAGTGCCCTGGCCATGCTGCCTTGGAAAGCAAGCGAGGGGAGTGATTCCTGACCTTGCCTTCAAAGAGGGGCAGGAAAAAACAGAAGGTTTGGTCTGGACTGGCTGTAAAGGAGGGAAGGTCAGTGGTACCTGCTGTTGCTGAAGGTGAGCTGTTCACCATGACAGCATTGATGGTGTGGGGCAATGGAGAATTCTCACAGACAGCATCATCACTGGGAAGGGGATCCTCCACTTCTCCATCTTTGGAGTCCCTCACACTAGGAAAGCAAGGTGGGAGCAGCATCCAAATGCTGTGCAAGGACTTGTTTGGCACAGCAGTGCTGTGATGGCTACCATGTGCACCATGGCCCAACAGCGTGGTGGGGGTGCCCCAGCCTTGCAGGGAGCAGCCTGTCCTGGCTCATGGGGGGAACAGATGTTTTCAGGGCTGCAGCAGGGCAGTGTGAGCATCCAAATGGTGCTCACAGCTGCATTAGACAGGATTTGATGGCCATCCTCACAGCCATTCCTGCCTCCCCCTCGTGGGAGGGCTGGGGAATAACTCATTCATTAGAAAACATCATTGCATGAATAACAAAGTCATTTTATAGTGCTAAATGGTCATTTCCAGTTGGTGCCTTTTTCAATTTCTGAGAATGGCTCGGCAGCCTCTCAGGTGATGTCAGCAGTGTCCCACCCCTGTCACAGCCCGGGCACAGGGACACTGACCAGGCACAGCCCTGCTGCCATCCCTCCTGTGCTGGCAGCACACCCACAGCATCAAAAATGAAAGTTTCCAAACACGAAGGCAGCGCTGAGAAAGAGGAAAATTACCCTTCAGGGAAGTATTCTGCTATTGTCAGGGCAGCGTGGAATGAAAGCAAAAAGGGTTTTAAGGCTGGGTTTTGGCTGCCAGTGGAGGCTGTGATTATAACCTGCAGCCTGAATGCACCATGCCTGAACCAACCCCTCCCCCTGCCCGAGCCTTAAGCCAAAGGATTTAAACAAGCTCTTATGTAACATGGTTTTAGTGTTTCCAGTAGAAATAGGTGTTCTAAATATAAATGATTTGCAGATAAAATAGGCTTATATAAAATGCTTTCACGTTTATATAACCCCATGCTGGCATTGCACCCAACACCTCCATCACTGTGAGCCCGGTGCTGGGGACAGTGCAGGGTGCTGGCAGTGCCCAGTTGGTGCCAGCATGCTGGGCCAGGGCCAGGACTGCAGCACAGACTGAGCCCTGTGCTGTCCCCAGCCCGCCAGGCAGTGCCCCTGCAGGGACAGAGCCTGCTGGGGGAGACGCACTTGGGTGGCAATTTCTCGTGTGTAATCTCCTCCCTTCTCCCTGCCCAGGTTTGCTCCCAGCAGCAATTCCAGGACATTGCTGTGGGGGTCCCACTGGTCCTGGGGTGTGGGGCCAGTGGGGACAGCCTGGCTCCAGCAGCAGTGCCATGGCAGCACTGACCCTCCAGCCTGGGCAGCTGGGCACTGCAGACACTGAGGGCCAGCTGCTGTGGTGCTCTGGGCAAAGAGTTTGGATGTTGAGAGATGGAATTCTGCTTCACCCCAATGTCCGTGCAGGGATCTGTGTGTCTGTGTGTCTGTGTGTCTGTGTCTGTGTGTGTGTGTGCATATATTTATATAACATACATATATTTGTGTATATATATATTGCTCTGTAAGTATGTAACGGAGAAATGGGGGAAAATGCCTTCAGGAGAGTGGCACAGTTTTCAAATGTACATACGTATATATATATGTATATATATACATGCGTATGTGTGTATATATATGTGTGTGTGTATATATATGTGTATATATATATGGATATATGTGTGTATATATATGTAGCATATATATATTTATATGGAGATAGATAGATAGATAGATAGATAGATAGATAGATATAGAGATATATATATATGGATATGTACGTGTGTGTATATATATATATGGATATATATGGATATATATACACATATATATGGATATGCATGTATTTATATATACACATGTGACACAGTGGAAGACCTGGCTCCCCCAGCACAGGGCAGGGCTGGCAGCATGGCCTGGGCTGGGGCTCTTCCCAAGCAGTGGCCACATTCCCACTGAGCAGCCAGGGGCAGCTCCCTGTCCCAGCAAGGCCATCAGAGCACCTGAGGCTCCCAACATCTCCCTTACCACGAGTGAGCCCTCACTTACCATGCCTCTCTCTTCCTCTTCTCCATGAGCACCTTCATGTAGCTTGTGGCTGCTGGAAGCTGCTGTGCCTCTTGCCCAGCCCAGCAGTGCATCAGGAGCTCTGACAGTGCCACTGATAAGGGCAGTAATAATTAGCTTGGAAACGGTGTTTTCTGAGGAGAAAAAAATGGTTGCTACGTTACAACCTTTATGTATGGGAAAGATACTCAGTCAAACCTTACACAACAGCCCTCAGTGTATCACACCAAGCACTTGCTCTTAGGGGAAGGACTGTTTGCTAAGTAATTTTAGCTACCATTATGTGTATGGAACATATAGAGATAGCAATAGATGTGCATGTTTTGTTTATACACACACACACATGGATTTCCATATACATGACAAACAAGAACACATTTTTCAGCCACAGTCTGTTAGTGCAACAGACCAATATGATTTATAGCTCCTTGCCATTAACATTTCCATTCAAATAATGCCTTATTTATGCCCATACCAGAGACGCTCTTTTGACAACGTGGGTAGAGGCTTTTTATTGCAAAGCCAGAACTGTCAGCAGCCTCTATTATTTTTGGTGGGACTGTCAGTTCTCCAAGCAACATGACTTCATTTTTAATCCAGGTCTGATGGAAGACACTTGATCTGTCCTGCTTTTGTCAGCCACAGAGGCAAACTTGCCAAAAGAAATGATATGTGCGACCTTCGCAAGCGGCTGCCGCCCTTTCCATCTTGCCTGTGCTCTGTTTTTCATGAAAGCCTGTTTCTGTGCTGCATTACAGGGGAAATGAGCCATTCATCTTTGTCTCCATTGCCCTCACGACTGCTGCAGAGTCACTCCCTGCAGGCCCAAGGAGAATGCTGGGTCAAGCAGCACTTGGGCATCTTTCAGAGCTGGACCTGCAGTGATTCATCAGCCACTTCCCTTTGGAAATCAATACTTACATGGAGTACAAGTGCTTATGGCCCCTTATGTCATCTACAGATAAAAATTCAACCACCAAAACAAACCAAAACAAACAGCTGTACCTTGGTGTTAATGTCATGCTTGGACCAAGGGCTCTACCAGCTCCCACCCAGTGTGGCACACAGGGAGGCACTGCAGCCCTTCTGCAAACATGGTGGAGCTGAAGGACAGGATAAAAACCCTGCAGAGAGGGCTGCAAACCAGTCCCAGCCTCTGAGCCTCCTTAGGGACAGTTTGGTCTCAACAATAGAAGTTATGTTTTATATATATAATATATAAAACATATATATATATATTGTTTTTTATGTTAAAACATATTGTATATATACACATATATTGAATATATGCGTATATATACAATATATAAGTATAACAGAATTATAGATATGCTATATATGTACATATACATGTATAATGTGCATCCATGTCCATGTATTTACATGCACAACATGTCTGTGTATGTGTATGAGTATTTTTATGTGTGTAGAATACATGTATACACACATATGGTATGGATGAGTGTATCACATGTATCATGGTATGTGCGTATGCATATATATTGTATGTATGAGCATACAGACATCCATGCCTATGTCCACACGTGTGTTCATGCACATATGTGTGCACAAGCTTCTCCACGTCCACAGAGACACCAAGGGAGGCTCACCTTGGGCAGGGCAGGGCCAGTCTGTCAGCAGGTGGGCCTGTCAGTGGCCCCAGGGTCTCATGCTGCCAGTGCTCCTTCCTGTGGGAATTTGAAAATAAGGTTAAAAGGCAGCCTGAAGTGATTTGGCAAGCTCTGTCCCTGCTCAGATTTGTGCTTCCATTTCTTTAAGGATGCCATATTTCAGTTACAGCAATTGGTCCACAAAAACCACCGTCACTAAAATCCCACCCCCTGCCCTCACACTGCTCTGCTGTATTTCTGAGATGACTAATGTGCCACTTTATTTTTCCAGTAACTATGAAAGAAAATGCTAATGAAATTTCTGGAATAACCTTACTTATTTTTCCTGGTTTGAAGCTGGGCATTTGTCTTGAAGATGGGTGCAAGACCATGAGCCTCCCTTGTTAAAGCTTGAGGCAACTCACACAGCAGCTCCTGCAGCCACTGGCAAGCCTTGGCCCATGTGGCTTGGCACCATTTCTTTGGACATCTCAGAGGCTCTGCCAGAAGCCTTTTGGGCACTGTGTGAGCCTCCCTCCTCCCTGCTGGTCCCTCAGGATCACAGCCCTGCATGCACACAAAGGCAGGGGCCTCCTTCCTCTTCTGAAGTTCATTTTTGGGACAGCCCATATCCCCAGGTACCAGATTTCCTATTTTAGGACAGCTCTTTTGCACAGCATGAATGTGTGTATGTATATTATATCTATACATACATATGTGTGTGCTATGTATATATTACATATATATATACATTATGTGTGTATATTATATATACATACAGCTATACATATGTGTATTTATGTATCTATATCTATATTTATCTCCTCTGCAGTACTTGCACACAGATAGGAAGCATAGAGGTGATGACTAAACACTGAGTTTAATGTCTAAAAATACAGATGGAAAAAAATAACTCATTTTACTGGCAAAAATATTCAGGCAAGTGCTTTTGCAGGCATGAACCAAGCAGCTGCTTAGTGCCCAGGTAAGCAAGGGGGAGCAGGACTGAGTCTTGCAGTGGAGGGTGCTACTGAACCTGTGCTCATGGAAGCTGGCAGCAACATCTCTGACCTACACAGGCATTGCTAAGGGAGACAAAGGCACTGAAAACAGAGCTGACCCTTGTTCAGGGAATAAATCCTATCTGTTTTTGCAAGAGGCATGACGTGCACACTTCTGCTAAACTAACAGCACAAAGCACCAAGCACAACCACTGGAAAGTTGGCAACATCTGGTTTTCAGTGCTGAAAACGTGCCAGCCTGCTTGGGCATTGTGGGACAATTTCAGGAGATGAAAGGCAGAAAATGAAAGAGAGCCACGCCCTGGGGTTCTGTGCCTGGTGGGTGGGAGCTGGCCATGGCCACCACGCTGCTGTGCCCTGCAGGCTGGCAGGCAGCCCAGTGCCACCACCCGGGCACGGGCCAGGCTGGGGACGAGCCCTGGCACCCAGGCTGGGGACAGAAACTGCAGGGGATGTGCCTGGATGTGCAGGTGGGATTTGCCTGGATGTGCAGGTGGGATTTACCTCCATGTGCAGGTGGGATTTTCCTGGATGTGCAGGGGACACGGTCTCTCACCCACTGAGCAGCCCCACTGCCATCAGCTCGCCCTCCCTGAGCAGTGCCAGCCTGCTCCAGCAGGTGTCTGTGCTGCAGGATCCAGCCTTATCCACTGATCCCAATAGCAGCAATACAAACAGGTGAAAATAAAACCAGCACCAGCCTCAGCTCGTGTTTGATTCTGCTTTGGCAGTTTCCCCTCAAGGATGAAATGAGGGCTCTGCTTTTCCTGGAGCAGATCCCTGGCTGACCCTCAGGAACATCAGCACCAGCAGGGCTCAAGGCTCAGCCCTTTGCCAGCCTTGCCCTGGGGGCACCTGGGGCTCGACCTCTGCTCACAGGAGCCCCAGTGTCACAGACAGGGCTGTATTCATGTGCTTCCCTCTCTCTGTGACCTTCACCTCCCTTGTTTTGAGGCTATACCTCCAGAATTTAAATAAATCCTTTGGCACCATCAGGTTCAAGACTTCCACCCTTGAAGACTAATGAGCTGCATTAAGATTAAATCCCATCAAGGAGAATACCAATGATTTTGCTCCTCAGTGCTCATTCAGATCCTTCCAAAATTGCTATCAGGGTGCTGCAGATCACACTGCTGAGGGCTCACTGCTGCTGAGAGGCCCAATGGAGCTGGACTCACACTGAGCAACAGGGAGGGCCAGGTGGCCTCAAGAGGCCTTGTCCAACCTACATTGCCTGTGATTCTGACATCAAAAACACCCCATGAAAATAACAAACTGAAAACCAGCTCCACCATAGATGGATCTTCTGCCTGCTGCTGCTGGTTTTGTGTGTAACATCGTCACAAACAGCTTTTTCTTCTGTACTTTCATATTAAAAAAAATGTGATAGAGAAAATGCAGAAGAAAAGAGAAATTTTCATTAAGTCTTTGTCAAAAGTGAAGAACTCTGACCCTCTCATCTCTTTTACAGAAGTCCATGGGAACAGTAAGCCCAGGCATACTCACCACAGACCACATGGGCAGACACATCCTAAACCCATGACCATTTTTGAAACATCAGCTGCTCAAAAGCAGCTTTAAAAAGAAATGAAGACACAAACCTACACAATGTGCTGGCATCACACAGCTGAACCAAACCCCTCCATCTGCCTCACGAAGATTGTCTCGGAATTTGGGTACAGATTTGTGCCTGAGCTTTGTGCTTTCAGCCCTCTCAAACACGCAGTTTAAACGCTTCAGTGATCTCCAGTCTCTCAGGGTTAATGATCAGACCCAGCTTTGAAGCTGCTGAACTTGTGAACCAGGATGTGTTGGGAAAGGCTGGGGCATGTAAAGATTAGCCCTTTCTCAGGCGAGAGTTAGCTGGGGCACTGAGAGGGCTCGTGTTGGGTGGGATGGTGCTGACAGGGGCGATGCCATGGCCCTGCTCACCCCAGCAGCCTCCCTGCTCCAGGCAGCCCCTGCAGCAGCTTCTCCCCCTTTCTCTCTCCATGTTCAGAATCTGCAGCCTGCATAAACCCATGGCTGCTGCATTCTGCTCTGTGGGGCTGGAGGGTTTGAATTTCAGTTCAAATGACATGAAACCCGGTCATTCATTACAATTTTCCTGCAAGGCTTTGCTTCTGTGACCCTGCAGGCACTGACCCAAGCCAAGTTAACCTTGTGCAGCTGGAGCTGCCCTGCCCCGGTGAGCCCAGAGCCAGGGGTGGCTCTGCCAGGCTCTGCAGGGCCATGCCCAGGGCCACCTCCTGCTGCCAGCCTGAGGGTCCCAGGCCCAGCCAGGACAACCCTGCTGTCCCTCGGGTTACTTTGCCAGGCACAGCACCCATTCCCCAAGTGACTTCAGCTGTACAAGCTAGTTGGACATTACCTGCAGTGGAAACACAAGCAGAGAGGCGTAAAAACTCATTCCTAAGAGAAATACATTGGAAAACCGTGCCGCTCTCCCGAAGGCATTTTCCCCCATCTCTCCGTTACGTACTCACAGGTTAATGGAGCGATATTTTTAATTGTTGAAACTTTCCAGAGCCGCGCTGAGCCCGCACGGGCCCGACAGCGCGGGGATCGCGCGGGCAACGGCGCCACCCGCCGGCCAGAGGCGGGATGGACACCGGGACACCGGCGGGGACACCGGGGGGCTCGGGGACACCGAGAGGTGCCGGTGTGTACAGGGACACGAATAACGAATGTGTGTGTGTATGTGTCCAGGTGCGCATGCTGGAGCATGGATATTTCATATACTGTGTGTGTATTTGCACATGTATGAACATATCTATACTCATATACGTACACCTATAGTATTTATGTTTTATAGCCGTAGACGTTTATGTCGGAACTCAGTACACGTTTATACACCCATCATGTTTATACACACATACACGAATTTACAGAGACACACGCATCGTTACGTACATACACGCACCGAGATCCGTGTTTCTCTGTATACATTCTGGGTGTGTGTGTACACAAAGTGCTTCCCTGGCAGCTGGCGCTGTTTATTTACCCCGGCGCCCGGGAAAGGCAGCGG